GGCTAAGGTCACTTGCAGAATTGGGAGTGAATCCTAGATCACCAGCCCGGCACTTAAAGGATTATTTTATTTTTTTAATGTTTTCTCTTTTCTTCCTGTAGTAGCATGAGATCCTTGATATAATTCTGGAGATGGATTATTGTTTAAAATAAACTTGACGAGACAGTGGGTCAAAGAAAAAAAGATCTATGGAGTCTTTCCATACAAATTAAACTATGGGAACATCCCTCTAGTTATTTAAAGCTGTCTTTGGGTAGAAATGCTGTTTGGAACATACAACGTTATCAGGATGATCCTTTTCCAGAAATGGCATGGCTGAAACTATTGCTGAAAGAAATATCATGACTACACAGCAATGATTTGGCACTTCAGTCATTGTGTTTGAAATTAGACTTGATATCTGCTAGACATGAAAGAACAGGTATTAAGAAGATAACCAACTTCAAAACAATTTGTTAAATGTGGCAGATCCTCCTTCTCTAGAAGTTCTTAAAGAAAACTCAGATGCCTTTTCTAAAACATACTCCAGGCAAGTTTCCAGTCTGGTGGCTTGGGCTATACTTGAAATCAAGCTTGATCGTTATAATTTTGGCTTTTTAAGTTGATTTTTTCCATTTATTCACTGTTCTCTTTTTCATTTGTGCATGCATATATTTATAATAGAATTGTCTGCTTATTTACTGGCAGGTTCTTGACTAAAGGACAGAATGCTCTAATAGAACTGCAAACTCAAAGACCTGTTGCTCTAGAGTTGTATAAAGATTTTAAAGAGCTTGGGAGGTTTATGTTACGCTACAGTGGTTCCACTATTGCTGCAGGAGTTGTCACAGAGGTATGGCATTTTTGTAATGGACTTTCTATACTGCAAAGGAACAGTGTTAACTTTCATATAGCATTTAGTTTTTATGGTTACCTGTTTTACACCCTCTGGTCTAAAATGTGAATTTCTTCTGCTGAAAAAGAGGAGACTGTGCTTCAGCAAGATGTGAGGAAAACTTGCCACGGTTCTGCTCAATTTATTAGGAATAAAAATTACTCTATAATTTGAATGTTGTGCATTTTTGCCCCCCTCTCTCGAGTTAAAAAATAATTCTTCACTATTTTAACATTCATGAGTCTTTCTGAAATTGAATTGCCAGTATCAGTATACTGGAAGTAGTAAATAAGTGTTGGATATTTCTACTGTGGCTAGTTTGGGTCCCAGATTTTCTTCTGTTAGCATTAAAGGCAATTGTACATCTGATTCTTATTGGTGCCTATTCTCTGATTCTGTGTAACTGAGAGGAAGGAAAGGCTGTGGGGCTAAATATAAATGTTTTGCCTTCTATTAGGAGCAAAAAAATATTAATGTTTCTCTTTAATTTTAAAAAATCTTGCTATGATTTTTGGATTAGAATTTAAATTCTAATTCTAAGCCTGAGAGAGAGCAATTTAGTCACATTAACCAGGTTCTGGTACTGAGACTTAAAGCTGTGTCAATGTCAAAGCTTGGAACTAGAGTGTGAGAATTTCTGGCTTCTCCCTGTATGCATAGGAGCGATGTGATCAGTCTGTCAGACTCTGGGCCTTACGGAACTTTAATGCTCTTAACAATCTGTCTGGTCTTAAGTAGGATCCAGAATTAGGGCTTTAATCTTGCACCCATTTTTCATTAAATTTTACTTGAAGTGAGTGGGGTCCTATGTAGATCTGTGATGCCCAATGTTTGTAGAACTGAGGACTAAATAACTTTGTTATTTGGGAATTACTATTTTAGTACTTGTGATCTTGTTCCAGAGAATTTCAGAGGAAAAGGAATTCTTTTTTTCTGCAGCTAACTAGATCATGTTGAAAAAAGCTGTGATCATTTTACATTTAGTAGTTCATCTTTCACCATAGTTTTTTTTCTTCCATTTGCTTATATTTTTAGATTAAAGAATGACAGTGGTGCCAGAACTTCTACCATTCAACCAAAATGCAGTCAGATATCCACACTTCTGTTTGAGTCCAGTTGCTTCAGTTGAAGGAACAAGTGCAATTAATTGGGGAGATGATGATGATGACAAAAGTTAATTGTGTGAGACGTTTGGGCAGTCCTTCATCAGTCTCTTCCACTGCAGAACAAGATGCCAACTGACGAGGAACTGCTGATGTTGCACTTCTTGGTCTCAAGAATCTCCTGTGTTTCTCCATGTGGAATTTAGCCTTTAGAGAGCTTGATGGAAAAATCTTAGAAAGTGGAATTTGAGAAAAAGATGATGAATCATCATGAAACAAACTTCTTCCAGACATAAAATTGTTTACATATTTTCTTTGATTTGCTTTTTTGCTGCACATTAATTCAGTAAAATAACTTTATTGGTTTAATATATTTTTAGGTTTGAGTTGAATGCTTATTCAGGGAAAAAAAGTGCTATTAATTTTTTTTTTTCAAGAAAATGGCATGTAGTATTATCCTGGGATTGTTTTCCCTGTCCCAAAATTTATTTAAAAAAAAGAAGTTTTCTTTTGCTGTGTAGTGGAAGCTGTGCCAATATTGGCTTATTTTATTTTCTAAACTGTTAAGAATAATAAAATAACATTGTCTGAGCATAAATTTTGTCTCCTTCATCTTTTATTATTTAAACACTTCTAAATCGTGTTAAATCATTCTTTACTTTTCCTAACTTAGAAGTTTCAGAGTAAATTTACAAGTTAAAATGCGAAACTGGCATGTGACTTATCTTTCTGTGGAAATAATTTCAGTTTTTCTCATGTTACTCAGTGTAGCTACTGTGCATACACATCTCTTTCATCCAGACTTAGTGCTCTTCTGAACAAAAGCTGGCAGTTTAATCATGGGATGTATTCTAAAGCCAGATTGTTGTGCCTACTCAAGCCTGTAACTAACTCCTTTCTGCTTTTCAATAATAGAGCAGGCAAAACTCCCAACTCAAATGAGGGTCCTTCTGCCACCTCCAGCGTAAGGTCAGGACAGCCACACTTTACTACTACTAGAAAGATTTTTTTTTTTTTTCTTTCAACATGAAGTTATAAAAGGACCTCAGGTATTTCAGGACTTGTACGCAAGTGTGGGGTGGAGACAACTCTACTTTGACTGCAGTCAGTAGTGGGGGGAAGGAACTAAAGTGCTCGTTCCAGAGCATCAGTCACTGGGGTTAACCGAAGTAAAGATGTGCCCTGTGTAGTGAAGAACACAAAAAGCATATGATCGTTTAGTTCAGTCATCTACAGTCCATACCTACTCTTCCCACCTTCTTTTTTTGGTAGGTAACTTCTTTTTTGCACTTACATGCTTTAGCCCCAATTCAGCAGATACCTGCTCTTGACCACAAAGATAAATTGTACTGTTGACTGCGTACATGTTTGTAGAAGCAATGCTTTATGTGGAAATTACTTCTGTAAAATCTTATGGATCTGAAATACCTGAAAACTGTTATTGCCAAAACTGAAGCTTACAAATTATCTTTGTTATGTCTTTTTGTAGTCTAGAAATTGCATTGAAATACTTACCACTTTCAACAGCCGCGAAGGTTTCATTGCACTTGTAGAATTCCAGAGGTTCATACTGCCAGGCTCCTGCTCTGAACCTGTTCCACTTGAACTTTCCTTCAAACCTTGAAAATGTTTAGATTGCTTTTAAGTCGGGGGACAGCTGAAGTGCTACAGGGAGAAGAATGTGTCTTCAGTTTTAAGACTTAAGTAAATTCCTTGCTGTTTGTGGACAAGGAAATGTGATACAGGATGAACTTCTGATAACCTTTCTCACACATGGTTGCATTAAATTAAACTCAGTATTCTGTGACTACAGAAAAACTACTGCGTGCTTTCCCAGTTTGTAGCCTGGGAGAGCCGCAGGTATTACCTAATCCAGTTTCAACATGACTGCACTACCTTTCAGCACTGAATATGAACTCTGCCCAAAGGTGCCAGTTGGTTAATGCATAAATGTTCTGTTGTGCAACAAAAACCTACCACCTTTATTCGATCAAAATACGTTTGCGTGTTGATCCACAAAAAGTTTGATGGCTTGTGGCAGTGGTCTAGGGTCCAAAAACTTTCTAAACTGCTGATTGAGATATTAACAATCTCCTGGTGACAACATACTGCTCTCTAGTATGGATGGGGTATTTTGAGTGTCTCTGGAGTGCAAGAAGGTGGCATACAATCTTAGAGCAATTTTTGATAATCTAAGCATTGTCTCTTGGAGAAGAAAGTCTTTTAGACAGCTGTTACTGGGCAGTTCAGGTTCTTGGGAAGTTAAAGAAAAACCTAAGTATATATGTAACAGGCTGCTTTATAGTAAGATGGCTTCCACTGGAATACCCGTGGAAGGGAAAGCATGAAAGCAAGTGTCTTGCTTCTTTAAAAACTGGATTTCTGACAATGTAACAGAGAGTGTAGCAGGTAGGATTGTGCTTCTCAACTGTTTTGAATTGAAGGGCCAGTGGGCTGCTTGTATTGTTTAATGTTTGGGGGTGTTGGTAGAAAAATAGATAGTTTCTTATGTTTAAAATCTTTTGTTTTGGCAGAACGATTGTTTTTGGGGTTACAAGGAAAAGTATTGATAATGTCAAAGCAGTAAACCGTGAGCTGCACACATACTTAGTCCAAATATCTTTTCTCTCTCTCTCTACTGATGGTGAGGAGCAGGTCCCTGGCTAGGTATTTGGGCCTTGAATTATTTTGTGTAGTTGTTGCAAAATGCCTTTCTTCAGGCTTGTGCTTGAAAAACTGATAAAGCGAGAAATTTCCCTGTCAAACCGTTCTTTTTCTTCCCTTCTTTGCTATTTTATTTCCTGTAGACAGAGAGGAACTGTTTTCCAGCATGTTAGCTGATCCTGCCTCCTTGCTTCAACTCCTAGAAAAGAACCAAGTGTCGCAGAAGTAGTAATTTTTCCACCCCGTTTCCTCTTTTCTGCTGTTGTTGCCAGGCTTTGTTCCCACTTGCGGGCGGCACAGGGAAGACAGAGAGAGAGAGGGGGAGGAGTTCAGACTCGCTGTGCAAATACATACAGACCTACTAATCTAAACTGATACCTTGTAGAAAAAAAATCACAGATGAAGGAAGCAGCTAACAATGGCTCACTCAAAGGCTTTCTTAGTGCTGGAAAACTTTATAGATGGCAAATTTGTTCCTTGTTCCTCCTACATAGACTCCTATAATCCATCCACCGGAGATGTCTATTGCAGGGTGCCAGACAGTGGCAAAGAGGAGGTGAGTAGTATCCAAATGTACAAAGAAGTGAAAAAGTTAAATGCACATAAGTAATATTTTGAGTGGGAGAGCCTGAAGGTGAGAGATCAGAAAAACACTGAAGATTTTAATGCTTAAATGAGTAAGTTATTGATTGTACTGTAGCGCTGTGTCATCTATTGCTGCAGCAGCAAATATGGTTATTTTTTTTACATTTTTCTGTTAGAAAGTTGCAGGATGGATCCTAGGCTGGTGTAAATCTACAAGCTTCAGTTACTCCAGCGAAGCTCCTTCAGCTCACATGGGAGATGTCTTGTACATAATATAAACAATCTGGAAGAGGGAAAAGATTTTAGTGATCTCTGCTGTGAATAAACTTAAAAGCACCATATACAGCTAAATGTGTTCTTCCTGAGCATTTTGTTGATTTGCAGTTATCATTTAAAAGGATTTTGGGCTTGATGGCTCTTCCCTGAGGTATGATAAAATGCTTCCAGACCTCTCTGGTTTTGATACTAGCAGTTAGATATTAAGTGGGGGGGATGAAGTAGCTGCGTTGCGTGTACATTTCTTTATAATGTAGCCTGCCCTCTACATCACTGTAGTGTTTCCTAGTCCTGTGCTCTCTAGTAGGATGAATGTTTCTTGGTACCTTGTTATGTGTTCAGGTGTGGATGGGCAATGTGACATTCGTCTGAGGAGCTGCAGTTTCATTGATGCTGTTTTATAAGGGACCTACAAGTGTGTGTCCAACATAGTCTTTCAGATCTACTGAAGAGAGAAATGACTGGAAAAGCTTGGATAATGCAAAGGTCTTGGAAAATATTGACAAGTAGTGTGCAATAATTTAAAAACACTTTTTAAAACAAACTGCTGCTGTATGTAGTGCTTCACTTGCGTTTCAGTCCTGTTGACATCTTTTCTCTTTGTTTCTCTCAGCAGAAACCTTTGCACTGTAATTTCAACTGGGTAAATATTTGCTACATGCTGATGTCCAAGGGTTAAAGAGTAACAGGTTGGGTTTTCTAGAGTTTATCTGTGTAAGTTCATTCTAACTCTAGTTATACCTGAAAAGACCTCTCTTTGATGTGCAGGTGCAAATCTTCCTGATCATTCATTTGCAAAATCATTAGAGCCAGAGAGATCTCAGAATGCCAGAGCAGCCTAACAAAAATAGGCTGATGGCCATTCTGGAGCTATAGTCCAAATGTATGTTAAGAGCAATGGCTTTTCTCTTTCAACTTTCTGAGTTGGTGGTTGTGTGTAGGAGTGGGAACCCTGTTAAAACACTCATAGGGTCAGTGAGTGCTTTACTTTTGCCTTTAAACGACAATACAAGGAGGTCAGGCTCTACAGAGTTGGCATCCGTTGGTGACTGATGACATATGCTGCAGGAGAAAGTGCAATCACATACTAACGAGGGGGTATCTGGAGATTTCAAACCAAGCATCTAGGCCCAGGTTTGAGAAAGAACTCGGGATGCTAGTGTCTAGCAAGGTTCAATGTCCTGTTGTATTTTTTTCTTGGTTGATTTTAATGAAGGGTTAGAAGGCAGAATAGAGACAGACGTTGAATCTGTTGCTGACCCTGGAATTTAAAACCAGGTCAGCTGAAGTGGCCGTTTCAGCTAGTTTTTGCCAGAAACTTCGAATGTGTTTTGAGGGGTTAATTTGTCCCCCATCTAGATGTCTTAAATTCCAAATAGCAGCACCAAAGCAGGCTGAACAGATGCCCTGCCTCTCCAAAAGACAGGCTGATGAGGGCTAATTCATCTTGGCAAATATCTCCTTAAAAAAACATCTCTCTCTAAAGAACCTTGATCCTGTGCATCAACCACTGGGAAAGCAAACATCATGTCCTGAGGGCAGTTTGGGGTATGTTCGTACCAACCTTTTGTGATAATTCTGGATTGTGTGTGCTTTCTCTGTCTCTGTGTTGTGCAGAAGAGGAAAGCAGAAGGAAGTGTTTCAGACATGAGTTCATAGTTGAATTCTTATGTGTGTTTTCTTTGTGGCTCGACTTTCTTTGCTGTTTTTGATAGTCAAACTAAGGAACTGTTTAACCTTTGCATGCTCTCTTACTACTTCTGTACAGATGTCTCCCCTTTTTTCTCTTTTGAATTTTTTAGATCAATCTACTGCCACTTCATTCCTTCCTTTGCTGCTTTTCTTTTCTGCTGTCTGGGAAAATGCAATGTCTTCCTTGTTCTAAACCCACTGGAGGGTTAAAAATGCAGATTGCCTTAACTGCACACCAGCCCTCTTGATGCAGGCAGCACTGGGTGGAAAGGGCCACAGAGGACCGAGGAGAAGCAGCACCACAATGGCACCTAATGACAAGAGGGTGGAAGAACAAGTTAATTAGTAAGGGTGGTATGGTTTCACAGAGGGTGAACCTTTTCGGGGTGTCATGCCATCCACACCTGACTTGCTCAGTAAGCTGCAGTTCCCCTTTCCCAGGGCTGCTTTGGCCCTGCTCCAGCTGCTCGATGGCTGGCAGCCTGCTGCCCTCGGCACCTGAGTGGGAGGTTGCTGAACTACAGGTGAAAGACTCTGAGCTTGGCCAGTGATCTGTGTGACCTTCTGGGAGGTGGTTTATCCCAACCCTGGCCTCCCTACCAGTATTGTTCTGGCCCTCAAGCTCTGGGAGACTGTAAATTTTGATGTGCATGGGGGTAAAAAAAAAAAAAAAAAAAAATCCACCTGCTTGAAATTTTGTGCCCTCGTTAGTAAAACATCACTGGAGTGCTTATAAATTATTTTGTGATTGTTTTTATAGCACCCATCACAATCTGAAGGGAGAAATTTGGAACTTAGTTTTGTGGAATTGATGGAAAGGAGGCTGCAGTGACTACATGGGAACTGGTGATGTGACAATATTAGGAAAGGTCAGAATTTTCTGATGATTATTGCATCAGCATCCTCCTAGTTATTGACTTGGGCAGATTTCCAAAAGCTGAAGAAATTTATGAACAAAAATGATGGACAACCAAGTAAGACAGCTTTGGCTAAAAGCCCACCTCGGTGCATGCTTTAGACATTGGAAGCAATTAAGAAGTGATACGTAGGAAGCAGAAGTTGGGAAACAGAGCAGTAAATTAAAGTATGGAAGGATGTTGGTAAATATCTTTAAACTGGTAAGCAACATGGAGAAGGAACTGCTTATAAATCAGTAGATGCAGGTAACTTTCATTTAAGATCCCAGAGGAAGTTACTGATGGAAGAGAGTGCTTTTTGGTGAATTTTAATCCTTTGAGGCCTAGTCTGCTTCAGAAAAGTACTGGTATTCTGCCACTATTTTGAAAGGTCAGACTGAAGGACCATGCAGTAGTTACGTACATCTCAGGCAAAATACTGGCAAGACTGATATGCATCTATATGAAATGCATATAATGATCTTTCCTATCTGTAGACTTTGTTAAGTATCTGATGAGAGAACTGACTAAACCCTGAGAGTTTTGGAAATGAGCTATTTTATTTTTAAAATGAGGGCATTAATGAGTTTTTAGCTGTGAACAGGTAAGAGTCAAAATACTGTTGGAGTGTCTATTCTGTAAATATATTTTCAGTCCTTGCTTGAACCAGCTAGGGGAAAGGGAAGAAGAAATCAAAGGCTAGCAGGGCGTGCAGTCTGTTCCTTCCCCAAGCCCTTAGTTTCATCATTGCTTGGTGTGGCTGAAGTCCTGTGTCCCAAGGACTTGTAGAATGAGGCTGCATTTTCTCTGGGAAATGCTTGCGCTTTCCTCCATGAGAAACAAGATTCTGCATGGGTTTGGCCAGTGGTACTTGCTGGTGCCAGTTGACCGGTCTGGCATTTCTTCCAGGCCTGGAGGGTTGCCTACAATTTGCTGAAATAGAGCATCAAGAAAAGACACTGTAATGAGTTATGGGATATTGTCTTGAGAAGACAAAAATGGAGAAGCTGTCAATGGTCACAAGTCTGAAGAGATGCAGTCTTCCCAACAATGTGGTCTGGATTATTAGCCTCTCGTATATGAGTTCATTTGCTGACTGTTTGACAGTCTTTCTAAGGGCATCCATTAATATTCAACACTTCATTTTTGCTTTTTTAGGTGGAAGCTGCTGTCAAAGCTGCCAAAAATGCCTTCCCAATTTGGTCCTCAAAAAGTCCGTTGGAAAGATCTCAGATCCTAAACAAATTGGCAGACCTTATTGAACGTGACCTGGAAGCATTTGCACAAGCAGAGTCAAAGGATCAGGGTAAAAATTGGAAGTGTTGATCTCAAATGGGGAGTGTCTTGCTGAATACTGAAATGGAGGATATGGTCCAAATTTTAAGTGTGATATGAGCTGTTGGTGCAAGTTGGTGTTGATGTGCATAATTTTTGTAGAAGTTGCTGATTTTGGATTCCTGGGGCATTCTTGCTTTTCAGAATTTCTGATTTGTAATACAATACTACAGGGGAGCTGTTTTTGTTGACCATGATTGTGCTGTGCAGGGGATTACTTGGGTGCAAGACAAAAGACATTTACTAAAACACATGCAAACCACAGTGTTCAGAACAGTTTGAAGCAGTGTTTACAGTGGTGTTTAGATGAGCTATTTTCTACCTATGATAACACAGCAGTGTGCTTGATTTTGTTTCAGGAAAAACTATTACGTTTGCTAGAACAGTGGACATCCCTCGGGCCGTGTACAACTTCCGATTCTTTGCCTCTTCCATCCTTCATCACACAACAGAGTGCACGGAGATGGCAACCATGGGCTACATGCATTACACCTCGAGAGCACCAGTGGGAATTGGTATGGTGCTCCTGAAACGCTGAAAAGCTTGTCAGGGTGTCTGCCTGATCAGTGGCTCAGCTTCAAAAACATTTATTGTCTCTGGATCATGTGCTAAACACAACTAGTCTGCTAAAGCACGAGCAACTTTTTGTAAAATCAGTCATGCTACTTCATGGTGAAAAAAGAATGCTTATATGCCTTAAAAACCATTTGTTTTCATCTGGTAGCTGTTGCCCTCAAAATACCTCTCATGTTTTGTATATGTGTGTCTGTGTGGTGTCGTGGCTTGCGCCTGGTCGGCAATCAACCACTGCAGCTGGTCACCCTCCCTTCCCCCTCCCCACCTGGGAATGGGGGAGGGAATTAGGGGGATGAAGAGAGACTCGCAGGCTGAGAGAGGAACAGTTTAATAATGGCAAAATACCCAGCCTGTTCCTAGCCAGCGACCCCGAGATACCAAGATCCCACAGTCACAATCCCAGAAGCGAGAGAGCTCCTTCCCAACCACCCCTCCTCTATATAGTGAGCATGACGTGCCATGATATGGAATATTTCACTGGCCAGTTTGGGTCTGGTGCTCTGTCCGTGCTCCCTCCCTGTGCCCTTGCGCACGGGCAGGACATGGGGAGTCGGAGAGTCCTTGAAGTCTCGGTAGCAACTGAAAACATCAGTGTGCTATCAGCATTCTTCCCATACCAAACCCAAAGCTAAATCCAAAACACAGCACTCATCTAGTCCCTGAAAAGGAATATTAACTCTATTTCAGCCCAAACCAGGACAGTATGTAAGTATTACTGCTGTGGATCAGTGAGGCGTTCAGAAGCACGGAGCTGCTGCTCCTTCTGGGAGAGCTGGATCCGCCTCGCCTGTGGGGAAGCAGTAGTAGCTTGCAACGTGACTTTCCAGCCTGTGACCAGGATGTGCAGCCTGTGACTTAAACCGCTTTTAGCTGGGGAGTTGCTGAACTCAGCCCCTAGATGCTGCTAATGCTTCAGAAATAAAGTGACTGTGCTGACTTGAGGAGGAATGGAGTCGTAATGATTCCATTACTAGGTGTTTTATCTAAATATATGCGAGTGTTCCACATTCACACTTGAATTATTTAAAAAATAAAATTGACTAACCTAGAGAACCCACTTAAAAGTTTTTGTGAGCAGTGGAGAACATGAATACTTCAGGTAAAGTTACTCTCATAAGGAAAAGTCATTCACTGCATCTGCTCCATCAAACAGCAAGAAATCCTGTGACTTCTGCGAACAATCACACCTAACAATTACAGATTGTTTTTCACTATTTCCTATAAATATGTAAAGTGAAAGTATTTCTGAAAGAAATTACTGAAACAATTCTGGTCAATTTGTGAAAACAACAGTTTGTACACTGATAAAGTTTGGCAGTCATAAATTAGGTTAAAATTTATCAAGAAAATAAGCACTGTAAGTCGTGCGTTCTCTTTTTTCTAATAAAATTGGGGGAAAGTAAAGCTCTAAAGAGGAAGAGAAAGCAAGAGTGGTCTGAGCTAACACACATTATCTTAACTTGCTGTTGGATAATACAGAATATTACCACAGACCAGTTGATGTATATAGTTTTTATGGCTAACCTTGCATTAATGTTCCTAGAAAACACTGAAAAGCTGTTGCAAATATAAGATTCTGCCCTGAAGAAGCAGTGAAACTTATGCAGAGAGTTTGGCTGATCACCTTTAGGGCCATTTACACAGATCTTTTAAAATTATCCACCTCAGAAATGTTTCTAGCTGCAAATATGTTGCACAATTGTCTGGAAATAAGTCATAGCCAAATTCCCTTCATAAATCTGAAATGGTGTATAACCGCTTGTTAGAGAATCAAGTTTTGTCTCCCAGCACACTGAACTCTTGTCTTTTGTGGTTTTGTTTTTTAGCTGGTTTAATCAGTCCCTGGAATTTGCCACTCTATTTGTTGACCTGGAAAATAGCTCCTGCCATTGCATGTGGAAATACTGTGGTTGCCAAGCCAAGTGAGATGACATCTGTCACGGCTTGGATGATGTGCAAACTCTTGGAGAAAGCAGGCAAGTCCTGTAGCATGCTAGGGAAGGGGAATTGGGTGGGAATACTTGCCTGTGCACCATTTCTTTGTTGCAGAAATCGGAAAGTGCTCAAAGAATTTGTGAAAGACTGTTTACTGTAGTTGAATGTTGCACTGGATAACAAAAAGCTCTCCCTGTCCTTGTACTATCCCACCTCTCCACCACAGCTGTTGCCCAGTTTATTCTGCTATTTTCTTATTAAATGTCTTCTGGCACTTCCTTTCCCCTTCCTGCACTCCACTTACGGGTGACCTAAGTCTCAGGTGCCAGGAGAGGAACGATGAGGGTGTAAGAGTGAGAATCAGCTCTCTGTGGCTGTGTTTGGTGCACTATTAAGAAAAACTGGGAGGACAACTGCTTCTTCCCTGAATGACTGAAACCTGAGTCTCTGATGATCAGGCAAGCTTGACTGATCAAGGGAATTGGTTTTATCTTTCAACCCATGACCACCAGAGTTATTAAACATCATGCATTTCAGCCACTATGTAAGTTAAGGGTCAGTCTTTGTCACCTTAGAGCTACTGGTAGTTTTCTAACTTCAGAGATGAAACACAGTGAAGTGAAACCCGCGGAGCAAAGGAAAGAGTACGACGACACTGTGCCTTTCTTCCCATCAGGAGTACCCCACGGGGTGGTGAACGTGGTGTTTGGAACAGGCGCCAAGGCTGGAGAAGCCCTCGTCTGCCATCCCGACGTGCCTCTGATCTCCTTCACGGGAAGCACGCTGACGGCCCAGCGGATCACGGAGAAAAGCGCTCCGCACTGCAAACGGCTTTCGCTGGAACTGGGAGGCAAAAACCCTGCCATCGTCTTTGATGACGCCGACTTGGCCCAATGCATCCCCACGACCATGAGGTCCAGCTTTGCCAACCAGGTGCCTCCTACCTCTGCGGCACATAAACCCTGTTTGCAGCAGGAGGTGTGCAAGTGTCTGAGCGTGTGCGACGTGCGTGTGCACATGCACGTACCTTTGGGTCCAAATCCTAAATTGTCAAGGTCTGTTTCTAGATTCTGTGTTGTAGGCGAGCTGTAAGTAGAGAGATATGAAAAAAATTTTCATTACTCCACAAGCAGGGAAAAAAAATAATAAAGGGATCTTCCTAGTACTTTCCATCAGAAAATAACCAAGTGTCATTATCCCTCTCAAAATAGATGCATTGCTTATTTTTCCAGAAAGAAGCTGTTTTAAATCCCACCCTGCAAGTAAGCGGGAAGTTTGCTGATTTGCTGGAATTAAATTGGGAGACTTTCCCTCAAAATTCTATCAGTGTTCCTCTTCCCTCATCATCGCTCTCAGCAGAGATCACCAAAGACATGAAACAGTATTGGGGCAAATGTTCGGAAAAAGTATCTTGTTATCAGTAAGGGATTATCAGGAAGTGAAGACAGAGATAATTCAAAATTAGAAATCACATTTCCTATGAAAAATGTTGGAGGAGACAACATGTAATCAAGGGAAAAGCAAATTTATTTGCATTAGTAAGTGACTGTACAATCCTGTTACTGCTGTTTTGTCTTTTTCTTCTCTCTTTAATCTAGGAAAAATCCTCCTTTGCAGTGTTGGTGAATGTAGTTTGCACTCCTGAGTATGCAGGGACACAAGTCTCATTCTGGGATGTGATTCTTAATACTTGTCAATAGTACAATGTGATAGAAACTAATATTGTTGGTTTTCTTGTTTCTTTTTGATAGGGTGAGATCTGTCTCTGCACCTCCAGGATCTTTGTTCAGAGGGGCATATACAGTGAGTTTTTGAAGAAGTTTGTGGCAGAGGCTAAGAAGTGGAAGGTTGGAAACCCCTCAGATCCTACAGTTGACATGGGAGCACTAATAAGTAAAGAGCATCTAGAAAAGGTGATGTTACATAGAGTATACATGATCTCATCTCATCTTTTAGAGGGCTGTGAAAGGTGATTTCAGAGGTGTATGGAAAGGACCATGTTCTCTCCAAGACTAGCTCTGAGGGATGATGATTCAAAGTCATTATAAGGTATCTTTCTGATAAGGTTTCTGTTGTCTGTGGCCAGGGATCACGTGATTACTCCAGAAGAATCAGTTCCATGGGGAAAATAATTTAAAATGACAAACAATAATTTTTTTCCAGTTGGAAGTGAAATAATTCAAAACAGGTAAATCTAAATCTTAAATTTATACTAAATAAAAGTTCAGTAACATTTTCACAGATTTTCATATTGCATTTGCCGAGATCACTTATTTGCCTAATAAGGTAGTTAACAAGGTAAAAGTTTTATTTTTATATCACTCTCTGTCAAATTCTGGGGAATACAAGACACGGTTTCCTAGGACTGCTTGCAGTAATTTGAAATAGCATATGTGTAAAGGGAAACTGAGATGGTGCACAGTTAAACATTGTCTGTTTAGTGACTTATATGAAATCAATTTTTCTGGTGTCAGACAGAGCTCAGGAGAGCAGATGCTTGCATCCCAAAACTGTCTGACACGATCAGCATAAGCAAGAAGCAGACTGAAAACCGCAGAGTGAGAGAGAAAGCCAAACCTTTGTCATGCTTCCTGACGCCTCGGCAGGTTCTCCAGGCCTGTTCGGAAGTAGAGTAGCAGAAACACTCACTTCCCGAGGCCTGTAGCACGACAGAGGACTTCTGAGTCTAGCTGACTGAGGTCGTTAGATGAAAAAGGGAAAGAAGCCTGCTGGTATCTCTGTGGTGTTTCTGCAGGGAGAGAAACCAGGCAACAATTTCAGAACAACAGAAGTAGATCAATAGCACGTCCTATGTGTTCAATGTAGCGTATGATAGCAGCAGCCATGAAAACAGCTTTAATTATTTATTGATGAGATTTTCTATAGCATTCATGGCTTCATCATCCTAGTGGCATGTAAACGTTTAACAAGCCTGCCTGTGAGGTAGGAAAATATTACTCATCCCATCCAGTAAATGAGTGAATAGTGGCATGGAATACATGGCAAACTGCCCAAGCTCCTGAAAGAAGGAAGGGAGGCTTCAGGACCACTTGTGTTTTCACCAGGGGCCCTACCCTTTTGAGGATACTTAGTGAGAAGGGCCAGCAGTGTTGCCTGCTGGGCTACTAAGTGTTTGAAGAGAGAGAAAAGTTGTTTTACAGTGAGAAATACTAAGTGTTACTTCTACAGAAACATAACAAAGAAAGCTAGGGAGGAAAGTAGAGGCGGTGTACTCTAGTTGGAGATATTCAGGGGCTGCTGTTGATGTGCCAGATGGGATAGGTGGACCCTCAGGATTTGGTGTCCCTTAGCAGTGATGTTTTCCTGCTGCTTCCCCAGGTAAGGAGCTATGTGAAGAAAGCTCAAGATGAAGGAGCCAGAGTCCTCTGCGGAGAGGGAGTGGATTCCTTGGCTCTCACAGCTGGCAACCAGAAAGGCTATTTCATGTTGCCCACAGTTATTGCTGAAGTCAAGGATGAATCTTGTTGCATGCAAGAAGAGATCTTTGGTCCTGTGACATGTGTGGTAGCATTTGATACAGAAGAAGAAGTGATCGGAAGAGCCAACAGTGTGAAATATGGCTTGGCAGCCACTGTGTGGTCCAGCAATGTGGGACGTGTTCATCGGGTGGCACAAAGACTACAGTCTGGACTGGTGTGGACCAACTGCTGGCTGGTTAGAGATCTGAACTTGCCATTTGGTGGGATGAAAGCCTCAGGCATAGGAAGGGAGGGAGCAAAGGATTCATATGAGTTCTTCACTGAGGTCAAAACCATCACAATAAAGCACTGACATGTCAACAACAGTATTTTAGGGTGAAGTAAATGGCAGTAATTTGTGTTACCATAAATGGCTTCCTGGAATACAGGCTGCTAATGTGGCCATCTTTTTTTCTTGAACTTTGGTCAAGTAGTATCAATGACAGCTGAAAATACTCATCCCAAATGCTAATGTTGAATTCAGCTTTTCGTGTTAAATGGGATCAGTGCAGACTCCACAATCAACTGAGCCCAAGCCAGATGACATGCTTATCTTATGGATCCTAAAGCTTTTTGAGTATTCCTGTCTCAGAAATTTCTCCCTCTTAAGGTCGATTGGAGGAAGGATGATATATGACTGTACCTGTGGTTGGTGAATTACCCTGAGGAACAAAGTGGCAAGCACATTGTGAGGCTGATATTGTAATGGGAATCAGCTTGTTTCCACTATTAGCAGTACATTCCACGTACCAATCTCTATTGCACTTCGCTGGTATCAGACAAGGACTAATTCTACAGCACACTGAATGCCTAAGGCAGTACCTTAAACCTATTAAGCAGTATTAAACAATGCAGTCATGAAATTCTCATGATACACAGAGACAATAAATGTTTTAATTATAACCTGCTTTATGGTATGTAGTTGAATAATCCTAAGAGTTGTTCTTCAGCTATTTTGAAATTATAGCCTTTTGTCACTTCTAGGCCTCAGTGATGGTGTGATTTTATATCCCTGCACAAAGATTTGGCTGCATCACAGATGGTGTCATTCTTGTGACTGGAAGTGACTTCTAAGAGAACTCACTGTTGGAAAAGTTTGTCACCAAAATGTAAAATCACGGGCAACTTTCCCTCACTCATTTACAGAGTTTTTTTTTGTTGTTTTTTTTTTTTTTTTTTTCTTTAGCCAGGTATCTCACAAATTTGTCCACATACCACAAAAAGAGAAATAAAGTTGGATACACACTTCCTGCCCCCGTGCCTCCCTCGGAAAGATGGCTAGGTTGCTATTGAATCTTTACAGCAGCCTTCACAATTTGTTTTTCAAGTTTTGAGCTGAATTTCACAATAAATAAAGCTGCATCGAGTTTTATAAATGTCTGTATTCTGAGAAGAGCTAATTAGTCATTGGGGTGTTTTTTCAGGGCTGTTAGAGGTGCCCTTTTTTCCCCCAAAAATACAAAAAAAAATGATGAAAAATCATTACTGATGAGATGTGAAAGAATGGAGTAGCAAATTGCTCTGATGCTCCTCTGCACACCAAAAAGAAAATACAGAGGGAGATTTGGGTTAATCAAAAATGCAATTTTATTTTTTGTACAGTTTGTAAAATTTTTAGGGGTATGGAGCTGTGATATGCAGGGCTGTAATAACTTGTAAAACTGATGTAGGCAGTCTAGAGGAGTCTCTAGGCCTTTATTTTGATATTTCTATTTAAGATAGGTTTTTTTACATAAGTGTACTTTTTGAGAGTATATTTTCCACAGAGGATTTATTCTTTTCTTTCTAGAGTTTGGTCAAGCTATTGCTGGATTTGCACTTTTTTTTTTTTTTTTTTTTTTTTTAATAGTAAAAATAAGAATGCCAGCAGGGTGTTTTAAATTACAGCTGCAGAATGGCAGTCTTTCCTCTCTCTAAGTGCTTTTTGGTGAGAGGAGTCGCTGGAGTAACTAGTGGTAGAGTTGTCCTCACCTTGAGTGAGTCATGCTAGGGATTGCTTTAGGGGTCTTAAAGCAAGGGATGGATCCCACCTCCCCCCTTCCAGATGTCACTCCAGAGTGAGTCATTCACTGCGAGCATTTGATATGTGTGTCCTGAGATGGCTGAAAAGCTGATTTTTCTCTTTCAGAAGACTTTTTGAAAATAACTTCTACCCCAGATCTGAGGCCCAAGTGTGTGATGAACCTTGAAATCTCTGGATCCAGCCTGGTTGCAGGGCAGACCTCCCAGGGAGGCTGGGAACCCGGTCCTCTGATGGATTTAGAACAAGTACCCTCAACTGGAGATGAATTAAGGAAATACATAAAAATGATAGGCTGAGTGTATTGATGTATTCTGAAGAAGCACATTTTATTTTAAAATTCTGTCTAGGTCTATTCATGACCACGTGGTGGCAGCAGAACACCTGCTTTGTTTTTTTTTTTTTTTTTTATCCCCAAGTCATTTTGCTTGGAGGGGAATAAATAGCTCTATCAGTGCATGTTTCATCCTGCCATTTGTTATTTTATTTTTTTTTTTTATTATTTTTAAACAAATCCTGTTTGGAAGAGCAAAAGCAGCCAAAAGCTGTGAAATGCTTCATTAGTTTGGGGGGGCAGGTGTTTTCAGCAACAGCAGGTGGGATATTACACAATTAGTAGATTTGGATGTATTCCTTCCCCCACCTGGATCCAGTCTAGGCTCAGTTTTAATGAGTTGAATTTTCTTCTGGGTGTTGATTATGGTTTGGCATTGGATGTAATGGGAGATTTCATGTACAGGAGACAAAGGCCTGTGTGTCATTTACGTGTTTCTGGCCCAAGATATCTGAGGTATTTTATAGAGAACTGGAATAGTAGGTGAGGAGGGGACAGAGCTCTGCAGGACCCTCAGGTGAAACATATGGAGTTGGTGGCTCCATGTCAAGCATGGCTCTGGGGGTTTCTCCAAAGGTGAACTCCTGGGGTACCCCATTCAGTCATCACTGTGTCCAGCACCTTAGAGTGGTAAGGGAGGTCTGCTGGTGCTAATGATGATGCTTACTTTTGGGCAGGAGGGAGAGCCCATGTGAAGATAGAAAATATTGTCCCTCTCTGCTTTTTCTACCTGTAATGGACTCCTTCCTTCCCCAGTTAAGGTGCAGTTCAGGTGCCTTGCTTATCTTGCTGTTTCTTGCCCTTTTCAACGAGTAGAGATTCACACATGGGTGGCTGAATGGGTGTTACCTGGTGGGGAGATTTTTTTTCCTGCCTGTAGTAATGGGTAATTCTTGCATTTCCCATGCCCACCTCCAGCCTTGGGTCCTAGCCCACGAGAGAGCTGCTGGTGGCTGCGAAGCAGGTGATGTGACAGAGGATACCTGCTTGTACCTGGGGCTGTCCGTGGGGACACTGGATTATCCTACACACCAAATGCTATGAACTTTCCTGTCTTTTCTTTATTCAGACTGACTTCTAGTATATCAGTGTGTGTGGGGAACTGTCTCTCATCTTACAGACAAAGTAGTCAAAGAACTTTTTCCTACAGATGATGTTGCAGCTGCTTTGTTTCTGGATTTTCTGCTCTCGGTCCCTGTGTGCAGCAAAGAGGATATCCTGGAGGATGAAGCAGGCTGATCCAAAGCGTCAGGTTGATGGCTGTCGCAGAGCTCTCTGGTCTACACAGCCTGGAATTTTCCAACCCAGCAGCAAAGCTTTTTTTTTGTAGACTGCCCCAGCTTGTGCGTGAAATCATGTGACTATTGTGAGAATTTGTTTAATTATCGTTATGTAAAGCCTGAAGAGTTGCTCCATCTGTTAATTCTTACAGATGGAGCAAGTACAGTTCTGTTTAACACCAGAATATTACCTCACTGGTGTGAGACGATTACTTTACATGGGTAGGTAGTAATATATTTGTCATACTTTACAGCTACCAAGTAGCACAGGGTTTCTTTTGTTCTATTTCAGATCTTTTCTCAGCATGTTTATATCTGTATCCAGCTATAGGATAATGCTTGAAAGCAGCTTTGCTTAGGGGGACTCAGCATGCTTCGGAGAGGAGACACGTCAGTTCTAATGTTTATATTCAAATCAAGCTATGGCCCTGTTCCCACAGTGTTTGTAACTTATGCAAAACAAGAAGTATTTGTAAAACTCCCAGGGATGAAAACGGATTTGACTTTTTGAGTGAAAGAAGATTTGATGCCTAACTTAATCTAAATGTGCAGAACTAGAACATAAGCTAGGCTAGTTTTAAAACCTTAGCTTTGAATTTTCAAACTTCAGAAATCCTATACCTTAAGATTCCGCTTCACAGGTAGAGTCAAATTTCTTATCCCTAGGACTTTCCTCTTATAAGAAAAACAACAACAACAACAACAAAAAAAAAAGAATTAAAAAAAACCCTGGTGGGATCCTGAGGGAACTGTGATAACTTTGATGTCAGGCTTGTCCTTAGGGATGAGGTATAAGTTTTTGCTCAGTCTGGAAAGGAGTTTGCTCAACACCTGTCTCAGATCTAGAAGGGATGCCATCTGAAGTGTCCAAGTGCTTGCCTTCAAGCTTTTTGTTAAGCCTATGGATTTTTTGTGTGGTGAGAGAGTGAAAAATTAAGACTGAATGAAATTTTCCTAGGCTGGAGGAAGCCCTGGGTCCCACTCTCCACCCTAGTTAGTAGTTAAGTATGCTGTAGAAAACTAAATGTAATGAATAGAGGAGGCCCAGAACAGTTGCAGGAAATCCTGGTGACTTGGACATTTTCTTCACTGAATTCTGTTCCCCTCTTTTCCGAGCATTTGGTTTTGCACCTGAAGTGTGATGCTTGTACTTAGGGGACCTCATTGCACTAGCTCGGTTGTTCTAGAATATATAAAATCCCTATTGGTAACACTTGTACTGTAGATGAAGAGTGGTGTATAACAAGAAAAAGAGGGAAGTCCTTCAGTATTATAACTAGGTAAACTGGATGCATTTTAATGCATCCAAAAGCTAGTTATGCATCCAGAAACTGTATGTGTATGGTGCTGCCTCCTGAAAAGAATCAGCTGAAAAAGATTTGGAGATTATGAGGGAAAGCACAGTCAGTATGAGAATACCAGTTCAGTCAAACCAGCCTGCAGTGTAGAACTCTGCATGAGGTCTGCTCCAACATTGCAATTAACAGGAGAGCCAGCATGATCCCAGAGAGGATAAGCAGAAGTGTGCTGAAACTGCAAATAATCTTTACCTTTGTATATATTATTACTGTAATTCTGTGCATCTAGTTCTGATCTTTTTTAAAAGATGTGGAAGGAGGAAAATGATTCCTAATTTTGAAAAAAGTCCTTCTAGTGTGGGACTTAGAGCTTGGACTGCATGTTGCAACATCCTTTGGCTTCAGAAATACCTGCTTTACTATGACAACCAGTATGTGTGTTCAGATGCAGGGAAGCAATTACAGGGGTCTGTAATGAGTCCAGAGGGGCAGATGCACACTACTGGGCTGGTATTTTGAAGGGCAAGTTTTGTCTTCTAAAACACAGGAGGTGGTGGAGCACATGGGGCACGTGTTCTTTCTGTTGAGTGATGAGTTAACCATGGCACAATGTGGCTTATGGTTTTTCCCTCTGCTATCAGGTGTCCTTAATCATTTCCTAGGAAATGCAAATGCTCCCTCAGAAGGGAACAGAAGTGTCCTGAATGAGCTATGGCTTGTGGTTTAAAGCATGCTGCTTATGGAAAGGGGGAGATGCCGAGTTGTGACCTGTCAGATGGATCAGTCCAAGGTTTCTCACCTGGTTGTGATCACTCAGTCTTCATCCCAGGCTTTGGGAAGATGTGCTGGACCTCGCAGCTTGGCTCAGGTGAGGGCAGGGATGCCTGGTCCAAGGAGCTTTCTGTGACACGAGTAGGTGAGAGACAGATGCTAAACAGCAGTCAAGACTGAGGCATAAATACTCGTGCAAC